CTTGCTCACCAAGAGGTGAATAGCCTCTTCCTCCACCCATTCCTGTCATGATGTCTGGCTCACCATGGGCTCAGAATCAGTGGAGCCAAGGACTATGGACTAAAATTTCTGAAACAGCTAAGCAAAAGGAACTAACAGCATTACTGATGTCTACACAGGAAAAATTGTTCTTTAAAAGACAGGGAGTCAGGCATGGTGGCTCATGCCTGCAATCCCAGCTTCTCAGGAGGCAGAGATTGGAAGGATGACAGTTTGAGGCCAGTCTAGGCAAAAAGCCAGCAAGAGATCCTATCTCAACCAATAAAGCTGGGCATGGTGGTGTGCCTGTCTTCCTTGCTGCACAGGAGGCACAAATGAGGTTCATGGACCAGGCCAAACACCAAATCCTACTAGAAAAAAATAACCAAAGCAAAAAGGACTGGGGCCATGGCTCAAGTGACAGAGCACTTGCCTAGCAAGCATAAGGCCCTGAGTTCAAATCCCAGTATTGCCAATACAAAACCAAACAACAACAAAAGAGGGTAGGGGTTTAGCGCTAGGTGTAATACAATCTGAACAAAGCAGGGAAGTGGAAAAACAAAAGATTATGAGATAGAAAATCTAAATTCTAGCTGTCTCCCATATAACTAGTCATATAACCAATAACATTTTTGTTACATCTATCAAAAAAAGGAACTAACACACATCTAGACTTCCTCACCAAGTTGAAGGTTCAAATGACATGAACACACACTGAATAGTGAAAAGGCTAAATTTAAGATATTATTACAGCTTGCAAGAACTATTTTTATCTTTTGAGAAACTTCAGCTACATGTTAATGGGGTTGGGGTTGCTCTCTAAAAGATGAAGAGTTTGGTGTCATGCTTTGTCTATAACGATCTTCTCCACAGTCTGAAAGCAATTTCCAGAAATAAGGAGAAAAGAGAAAGTAAATTAAACCTAGCTGGGCTCTCTGAAACCAGAGCAGAAGCTGTTATACCACATTTTTCAGGAATTGACTTAAGTTTTCTGCTTCCTGAGTCATGCTGTCAATATAAGAACCTGTGGTAAATTTGACACTGGTTTCATTAATTCACAAAATCAATATATTTGAAAGAAAAAGATAAACAAGAGACATTTAAATGCAAGTACAGCAAGAATTCCCAGTTAAATTTTAATTACTCAGGAATATATACTTCTAACACAAATAGTAAGTCACTAGTTGGATATCCTGACTCACCTAATTTGGTAATAACCCTATCTTTAAATAGTATCTTCACAGATAATAATTTGTGGTGCTTATCTTTTCAGCACAGCCACTCCATTTTGTTAAAACTATTTAGCTTTATTACATGCTAAAAGATCAACTACAATTTAAATCACTTTACTGTGACCAATTAGATCATGGTGGGGAGTCTAGATACCACTGCATGAAGAAGAAAGGAAAACAGGAGGCAAGTAGGCTGTATGCATACAGGTTCACCTGTTGTAAACAGGATACATCAAACTGCAGAGGCTCCATATCCTTTCCTTGAAATGCTTGAGACAAGAAATGCTTCAGAGTTTAGTTTTTTTCACATTATGGAATATTTACATATGCTTTACTGGTTGAGTATCCCTACTATAAAAACCCAACATCTGATATCTGGTCAGATTTTAGAGCATCTAGGATTTTAGGCTTTCAGATTAGTATAACTAATAGCAAGTTTTAGAGAATGAAGTTTGGAATCACGCACAGTGTGGACCTTTCCTTCACAAACATCAGGAAAGGAATATAAAATGCTCATTCTGAAATGTAGACAGTACATTTTAAGGTCAAATCTGAGTAAAGAATACATAGGACTCAGTATTTCTAGGATGATCTACCTTTATGGCTCTGTCTTCTTGGGCACTTGCCTTATTTATTTATTTTTGACAGAAAAAAAAATTAGATGAAGAAAGAATATTTAACTACTATTCAAGTAAGAATATTTGTTTTCTAAGAATTAAATTCTTTTTTACTTTAAGAGATTTTGATCAAGAATTGAAATGACTATTAGACCTTCTTTCCCCCCAAAATCTTTATTTTGGAATAATGTCAAAAAAAAAATCTAAATAGTACAATGAATATACCATTTATAGGCCTCCCCTAAATTCACCACTGCAACATCTTACCCACATTAGCCTATCTATGTGTGTGTGCTTGGCAATGTTGTTAAATTTGCAATAAATTGCAGACTTATTTGCAATGAGTTCCAAATATTTCAGCATGCATCTCCTAAGAGCAAACATATATACAGACATAAACATAACATCAATGTCACTGTCAAGAAATCCAACATTGATATGTAATACCTTTTATATAGTTCATATTAAAGTTTCTTTAGTTTCTCATGATTAGATTTAGATTAGTTAGCATTTTCAGCAGGAAACGACATAGGTGATGTATCCTCCTCAGGATATCATATCAGGAGGCAGATAATGTCAGTTTGCTCAATTATTGATGAGTTACATTTGAGTACTTGGATAAAGTAGCACATACTAGATTTTTCTACTCTAAAGATACATTTTAATATATATTTTAATTGTTAAGTAAATAATTTTGAGATGGTGTGGATATTTGTATCCCAACAGCTTTTTATCCATTGCATTTAGTATCCACTGATGATTTCAATTTGAATTCAATTACCAAAATTGTGACTGAAAATGGTAATGCTCTTCTTCTATCATCCCTTCCACATTTATAAGATGGCAATTCTTCTATAATATGACTGGAGAAACAGAGGTTTTTTTTATTTTTATGTAAGGCATAAAAATGACATATTTCTAAAACAATAAGAAAATGTTAGACAAGACATAGAAAAATGGGGACTTCTGCTCCTGCAGAAAGCTACCAAATGCACCATTCCTACCCTAAAAATGAGAAAAAGATAATTTGCAAAATCATAACTTTTCTTAAGCCCATCTGAGTTGAGATTGCAAGAAAACCAAGTAACCTAAATGCCAAAGAAAGACAAGTTGCTCCAGTAGGTCACAAGAAATGTTGCACCTTTGGCAAGGAAGGGGAGAAAGAGATGGTCACCATCAGTCACTGTTCTAAGTACTTTATTATACTTGTGAGCTTTTCTAATATTCAAAACAAACATGACTGAGATAGGTGAATTACTTGTGGTATAAAAGTAATCAGTAGAGAACTAAAAATAGAGATACAACTATATTAGGAAGAGATATGGAAGAATTCTTATATATACCACAGAAATCAAGAGATAAGTTCTAATACTGATATATGCAAGGCAGTATCACAAACTTAACACTACTGAACCGTTAGTAGGTATAGGTAAGAACTTTCTCAATGAAACCCCAGCAGCACAGCAACTAAGAGATAGCATAGATAAATGGGACCTCATAAAACTAAAAAGCTTCTGTTCATCAAAAGAAATGGTCTCTAAACTGAAGAGAACACCCACAGAGTGGGAGAAAATATTTGCCAATTATACATCAGACAAAGGACTGATAACCAGAATATACAGGGAACTTAAAAAACTAAATTCTCCCAAAACTAATGAACCAATAAAGAAATGGGCATGTGAACTAAACAGAACTTTCTCAAAAGAAGAAATTCAAATGGCCAGAAAACACATGAAAAAATGCTCACCATCTCTAGCAATAAAGGAAATGCAAATTAAAACCACACTAAGATTCCACCACCTGTTAGAATAGCATCATCAGCAACACCACACCAACAGGTGTTGGCGAGGATGCGGGGAAAAAGGAACCCTCTTACACTGTTGGTGGGAATGTAGACTAGTACAACCACTCTGGAAAAAAATTTGGAGGCTACTTAAAAAGCTGGACATCGATCTACCATTTGATCCAGCAATACCCAAAAGACTGTTACTCCAGAGGCACCTGCACATCCATGTTTATTGCGGCACTATTCACAATAGCCAAGTTATGGAAACAGCCAAGATGCCCCAGCACTGACGAATGGATTAAGAAAATGTGGTATCTAACAATGGAATTTTATGCAGCCATGAAGAAGAACGAAATGTTATCATTCGCTGTAAATGGATGGAATTGGAGAACATCATTCTGAGTGAGGTTAGCCTGGCTCAAAAGACCAAAAATCGTATGTTCTCCCTCATATGTGGACATTAGATCAAGGGCAAACACAACAAGGGGATTGGACTATGAGCACATGATAAAAGCAAGAGCACACAAGGGAGGGGTGAGGATAGGTAAGACACCTAAAAAACTAGCTAGCATTTGTTGCCCTAATGCAGAGAAACTAAAGCAGATACCTTAAAGCAACTGAGGCCAATAGGAAAAGGGGACCAGGAACTAGAGAAAAGGTTAGATCAAAAAGAATTAACCTAGAAGGTAACACCCACGCACAGGAAATCAATGTGAGTCAATGCCCTGTATAGCTATTCTTATCTCAACTAGCAAAACCCCTTGTTCCTTCCTATTATTGCTTATACTCTCTCTACAACAAAATTAGAGATAAGGGCAAAATAGTTTCTGCTGGGCATTGGGGGGGGGGAGCGGGAGGGGGTGGAGTGGGTGGTAAGGGAGGGGGTGGGGGCAGGGGGGAGAAATGAACCAAGCGTTGTATGCACATATGAATAATAAAAGAAAAATGGAAAAAAAAAAAAAAAACACTACTGAACCATACACTTAAAATGGCTAAGTTGGTAAATTTTATGTTATGGATTTTTATCAAACTACTTTATTTGTTGATTGACTGACTGATTGATACAGTCCTGGGGATTAAACTCAGGACCTCATACTTATTAAGCATGTCTACCACTGAGCTATACCTTCACCCCCAACACACACAAAATCTTTTAAAAGTAAGATCATAAGCATATTAACTAGTGCTAACAAAATAGAATTAACAGATGAAATTTTTTCCCACGGGGGGATTAGTTTTTGGGATAGGAAGGGAAGACTGACTGCTATGTTCATTTTACGTTTTATTTTCTTTAATATGTGTTTATTACTTTGACAATTTTTTCAAAATCTGAAGGACAGACTTTACCTTGATTTGCAGCACATCAAGTGGTACTGTTTCTCCTTTCACAATGGCAAGTGCAGCATCTGTAATATGTCTGAAGGGAAACAAAAAGGAAATGATCATGTTGAGAAAAATAAGCAACAGCCCTCCCCAACACACACAGACAGACACACACAAACAGACACACAGACACACTCCTGCCCAAGAATACTAGCAGGTGTGTCAGGAAAAAACAGTTCTTCAAAACAGTCCAATAAACAGAACAAAGGTCTATAAAAGAATTACTCATACAAATATGGTGCAAGGCTCAAAGAAAAGGCTTCAGCAAGAAGTTTACACAGGCACCAATCACTTATTTATTTAACCCTGAATCTCTCCATTGTGCCTCATATTTATCACTGGAAAATAAATAATAACATCTTTTATTCATTGTAAGAGATTCAGGTACCTCAAAAATCATTTCTTTTTACTCAAACAGCCAGAAGGGTAACTAAGGACAGGATTTGCTGCAGCCATCTAAGCAAAATATAATCCAGAACCCAAGACAGATTTCCTTTATTTTCCAAGATTTCTAGCCTGTGTTTCATTTTAGTTGCTAGTCCTTTTGTTCAAAGACACAAGACTACTCTTATCTACATTCTGCCAGTCTTTTGAAAAGAAAAAAAAAAAAAAAGTGCTCATCAAAAGGTATATACTATTGACATCCATTCAGGGCATGTGCAACTATGGCAGGCTTAGAAGAAATTCTAGAGCTATATTTTACTTAGATTCAAGGTTAGACATACATAAATCCACAACAGAGAGTCAACAATTAGATCAACAAGTGGCTTTTACAAATAAGGTCTCAGCCTGGACCATAATTCTCCTATTCATGTTAACACCTACCTGGTATGACAGGTATGTGCTACCACGCCCAGCTTTTATTGATTGAGATAGGTATTGGGAACCTTCTGCCCAAGCTGGCCTCAAATTCTCAATCCTCCTGCATCAACCTCCCAAGTGCTGGGATTAAAGATGTGCACAACCATGCCCAGCACTATACTGTGTATTTCTTTATTTACTTTATCATCTGCCTCTTCCTGAAGACCAAAAGTCTACAAGGCTAGTGAGAATTTATTCATCTATTGACCAATGTGAAAATCTACACTTAGCACAGTGGATGGCAAATAGGCACTGAATATTGGTTGAGTAAATTTTATTTTATACAACTTCAAACATATTTTTAAAAACTACAGAAATACTACCATGGATTTCTATATATTCCTTATTCAGCCTTGACAATTACCAACTCTTGGCCAATTTTATTTCCTTTATATCCCTGACTCGCCCTCTGCCCTATATCAATCAAAGCAAATCTTAGGTATCTTAATTCTTCAACCATAAGCAATATGTTATGTATTTGCAAAAGACCGACTCTTTTAAAAGTAAAATTATCATAATTCAAACAAATAATTTACATAAATCAACAAATAATTTGTTACTTAATGTTCAAAATTTCCCAAATAATATATATATATGTACACAAATGTATATATATACACAAAAATATGTGTTAGTTTCTTTGTTCAAATAAAGATCCAAATAAGACATACACATTGCAATTGGCTTATGTGTTTCAGGTCTCTTCTAAAATATAGATAAGGTCTCCTTTTTGTTTCTCTAATTGTTGAAGAAATGGGCTGTTTATCTTATTAAGTTTCTGAGGGCTTGGAATTTACTGATTGTATTCCCATGGCAGTAAAATACACCTGTATTCCTTGTATTTTCTGCATATCCATATCTAGATCAGAAAATCTCTATCTGGTCCAAATTTTGAGTGTTGGCAGAAATAATCTGCAGTTGGTGGCGTGTGTTCTTCACCAGAAGGTGCATGGTATCTGGTCATCTCTTTTTGTGATGTTAGCAACCACTGAAAATCATTTCCTAGATTTATTAATAAAGTTGCAAACTGGTGATATTTTAATTTGGTTGTTCCCTTTAATATATTACCTACTCTATAAACAGAAACTGTCCCTCATTAATAATCTGGACACCATGCAATATAGGTCACATAAGAAAGTCAGGATAAATGCTTGATTTTTTTTAACTTTTCTAAACAAATTCTCAAATTAAGTGCATTTCCAATATCATCCCAAAGTGTCCAGTTTTTCATTTTTCTTTCTTTTTCTTACTTTTACTATGAAATCACTCATATATGCAAATACATATTTGGTATGTTTCAATGTATTATGTTTATTAACCTTGTTGTTACTCAATTATCACTGCTTTAAAAATCCTCTATGGTCGGCCTTTTCATAGCCTCCCCCTCAACCCTGGCAGCCACTCTTCTTTTTAGCAATCTCTGTAGTTTTACTTATTTTCAGATCTCAAACAACTGGAATCATACAGTGTGTAGTTTTTTCAGATTGGCTTCTTGCACTCAGTAAAATGCACATATGATTCCTCATGGTTTAATAACCCATTTCTTCTTAGCACTGACTAATACTCCATTGTCTGCATTAAACAGTTTATTAATCTACTCGCCTACTGTTTCTTATGTGAATTTATCAAATTGTGTCTTTCAAGGAATTGCTCCATTTCACCAAGGTTATCAAACCAGTGGGTAGTTGTTCATATGATTCCTTTATTATCCATCCAATGTTCATAGACTCTACAGTGATGCCCTCTTTCATTACTAGTATTAGTAATTTGGGTCCTCTCTAGGTTTGTTGTTGTTGTTGCTTGTACTGGGATTATGTCTCAGGACCTCACCTGAGCCACACCCCAGTCCTTCTTGCTTTAGTTTGTTTTTCAGATAGCGTTCTGCATTTTGCCCAGGGCCAACCTCGAACCACAATCCTCCTACCTATGGCTCCCAAGTAATTGAGATTATAGACATAACCTGTCCAGCCTAATTTTTCTTATTTAGCCTAGCTAGATACTGATTTCATTGATCTTTTCAAAGAACCAGCTTTTGGTTTTGATTTTTTTCTACTGATTTCCTGCTTTCAATTTCAATGGTTTCTGCTCTAATTCTCAGTGTTTCTTTTCTTCTGTTTGCTTTGGATTTAAGTTGCTCTTCTTGCTTCCTATGGTAGAAACTTAGCTAGTTGATCTTTCTTCTTTTTTAATATGTACAATCAATGCTACAAATATCCCTCTAAGCACTACTTCCACTGATTCCCACAAATTTTGGAAAGTTGTACTTTCATTTTCACTTACTTCAAAAGAGTTTTGAATTTTCTTTAAGATTTCTTCTTTTGATCCATGTGTTATTTAGAAGCATGTTATATAATCTCCATGGATCTGGGGATTTTCCAATTATATCTTTCTAATTTAATTCCCAACTTTTTCTACCCCCTTAAGATGGAGCAGGAAAGCTAGGGTTGGATATTTTCCTTACTGCACATGGAAGGCTAGAGCTAACCTGGAGTTCAGTATTTCCCTTCCCCTTGGAAGCAGAAACCCAGAGGTTAGGCTCTGGTTACCAAGTTTCTCCTAAGGGCAGACCTTTGGGTATTATCTCAAAGTGGTTCCTTTCCCCTACCAATGCCAGAAACATGGGGGTATTTTTCCCTGGTATTTACTGTGGGATCCTAATCAAGTTTCTAGAGGTAAATCTCACAATATTGTGGGGAACCTCATATGGCTGGGTCTCCAAACATTTTTAACTCTCAAGTGACCACAGAGCCTCCAACAGTTGGTTGATAACAGTAGTTTTCCTCCCCCAGCACTGGTTCCCACAGCAGTTTCCATTCACGAGTCTCTGCTCTGGTAGTGGTATATCCTTGTGTTCATACCTGTTTCTCCAATCTTGGGGACAACAGTTTGACCTGTGTCCTTTTCAGATCCAAGAAGAACTGCTGATTTTTCAGTTTGTTCTGCTTTTTATTTGTTGTTAGGACAGAGTGGTGAGCTCCAAGTTCCTTACCTGCACAACTAGGAACTGGAAGTCTAACTTCTTTTTAAAAGTCATTCATACTGACGTATAATTTACACAGTAAAATTCATCCTTTTAGGCATACTGCTCTACACATTTTGACAAATGCATAGTCATGTAACCACCATCACAATGAAGATATATAACATTTCTAACATCCCCCCAAATTCCTTCACCTTTTTATAGCCAATCCACTCCCCTTGCCACAGGCCCTGGCAAGTACTAAGTCTATAGTTCTGCCTTTTCCAGAATGTTATATAACAGAATCCAAAAAAGTACGGCGATGGCGCTGCCAGGCACTGTGGCACACACTTAGAATCCCACAAGCTCAAGGCCAGCCTGTGTTACATAGTGAGACCCTGCCTAGGAAAAAACAATCTGGAGCCTTTCCAGTTCAGCATTTTTTACTCCTGGCATGAGTTTGAGATTCATTCATGTTATTGAATGTATCTGCATAGTTTAATTTTATTGCTAAGCAGTATTCCATTGTATAGTCTGAATCCAGGACCTCATACACACAAGCTAGGCAAGTGCTCTACCACTCAGCTACATTCCCAGTCCTCCACTCTATGGCTGTACCATAATTTGTTCATCCATTAACCAAAGGAAGGACAACAGCAATATTCCCAGTTTTTGGCAGTTAGGAATAAAGTCTCAATAATGGCCATGTGTAGGTTCTTGTTTGGACATATGTCTTCATTTTCTTTTTGGATAAATATTTAGAAGTGTGGTAAGTGGAAGTTTAATTTTATAAGATGTCACCACACCATTTCCCATAGTGGCTACACTTGTAGCATTTACACCACAAGCTGCATTTCAGCGACACAGACTTGACAGTGGCTGGTGCTGTTGGCTTCGCTTGCTTTGCTTTTCACGTAAACCATTCTAAAAGATTCACAGTGCCATTTCATCAAGGATTTAATTTGCATTTCTCTAATAACTAAAGATTTTCTTCTAAAAGCTTTGCAGTTTTAGGTTTTACCTATAGGTCTATAGGTAAAACCATTTCATGTTAATTTTTATATATAGTGTGAGATATGGGTTGAGGTTTAATTTTTTACATATGGTTGTTCAACTGTTCCTGAACCATTTGTTGAAAAAAATGTCCTTTCTCCACTGAACTGCCTTTGCCCCTTTGCAGAAAATCAATAGTTCATACATGTGGGTCTAATTCTAGACTCTTGTCTCTTGATCTATGGGTCTCTTCTTTTGCCAATGCCACACTGCCCTGACAGCTGTGGCTTTACAGTAAGTGAGGAATGAAATAGGGTAAGTTCTCAAATTTGTTACTCCTTTCAAAGTGATTTTAGATATTCTAGTTTGTTTATTTTTCATATGAATTTTTAATGAACTTGACAATTTCTACAAAAGGTCATCTGGAACTTTTGAGGTTGTATTCAATTTACAGGTGATTTTGGAGGGAACTGACATCTCAATATTGAGTTTGACAATCCATGAACACAGACTTGTCTCCACTTATTTAGGTCTTCTAGACTTCTCTCTTTACTATCTGTAGTTTTTAACATATAAAACTGGCATTTTTTTTTAGATTATCCCTAAGTATTTCATGTTTTTTTTATAATGGATTGGCAATGTTAATATTTTATTGTTGTTATATATAGCTATATTTTAGAAAAATACAATACCTATTATTAATAAAGTAAAATAATTATTCTGCCTGGAGTTTAAATACAGCTACAGATAGGAGTCATTTAAAAACTACTTTTGGGACTGGAGATACAGTTCAAGCAGCAAAGCACCTGCTTTGCAAGTGTGAATCCCTGAGTTCAAACCCCAGACCCACCAAAAAAAAAAATACTTTAGAGCAAGCACAGTGGTTCATGCCTATAATCCCAGCTACTATCACAGTATAAGGCTAGTCCAGGCGAAAAGTTAGTGAGACCCCCCCCATCCCAAAAAACAAGCCAGGCATGGTGTGACACATCTATAATCCCAGTTATACAGAAGGCATATATAGAAGGATCATATGTAAGGTTGGCCCAGACAAAACAAGACCCTATCTGAAAAATAATCAAAGCAAAAAGGTCATGGCTTAAGTGGTAGAGTACCTGCCTGGCAAGCACAAGGCCCTGAGTTCAAACCCCATCACAGGAAAAAAAAAAAGCTACTTCAATTTCCACTCAAGAAGAGTAGTTTCTCACCTAATATGGTCCATCCGAACCTATTCTGCATGTACAGACCTGGTTAATGTTATGACTTTGGTAAGAAAAGTTACCTTTCCTTGGTAACTGATGAGAATATCTAAAAAATGATGTTTCCTTTTTTTAAAAAATATACTTTCTATAACTTTACTAGGCATAACTACATTTACCTAACTAGTCCTTATTTTACTTTTTTAACAATCTTCTCAGGTAAGAACTATTACTGTGTTTATTTCATAAACACAGGTGAGGAAACTGAGGTTCAGTGTGATTAAATAGAATTACCCACAGTGTAAAGCTATTTGGAACTGTCCCAATGAATACCCCCTGTACAATGAATATATCCTAATAAAAATGGGAATTAAAAAAAGAAAAGAATTACTAAAATAACAAAACAAGCATGTGGCAAAACAAGATTTAACTTCAGGTCTAATGCCAATGATGTTCTCTGCCTTGTTAGGCCACTTTGGCTAAATCAAATAGTATCTATGGATTCCCAAAAGAAAATCCCATAGCTCAAATCTCTCTGACCCTCCACATCAGTTTAAACTGTAAACATCTCATGTTCACTTAAACTGGTGCTTGAACAAAGCTAAATAGAGCTTAGGATACTTTTAAATCCCCAAAACATACCTGTTAACCCAAATGCTTGAATTAAATTTTGAGTTCTCTGGTAAGCAAGTTGAAATGACTATATTTTCTCATATTTCTCTATGAACACATTTTTATCCCACTTTTTCCTTCCAATAGAGATGCGCTACTTGGGAAGTTGGTAGCAATTTAAAAAATGAGATTCCGCATAGGAGGAAGCTCACTCCTGAGCTTAGATGAACGTGGCATGGGTACATTAGTTCTGAAAGAAGCCACTGCAGGGGGTCCTATGGTAGCCCTATACTTACTCTGAACAGTGCCTCACACACTGAAGGAGAGACTGACCTTAAGAAAAACAGAACTATTGTAACTCAAAAAAACCTTTTATGTGAAACTGCTTTCCTGAATCACTTGGCAGAAGATAACTAAAAGGCAACCTTAAATTTACCATTTCCTAACAATAAGTGAAAGTTCTAAATAAAGCAGCACTGTTACCTGGAACAGCACTTTTAGGATTATTTACCTGCAACATTCCAAATTCCAAGAAAATGATTCTTTTTTTTCTTCTGTAGCAATTATGGTACAAGAAATCTTGACAGCAGAGCAAGAAGCAAAGCCTTGCTCTTTTTAAATAGCCTCAGGCAACTGCCATGTTAAGAGGTCTGCAAAATTCTGAACTCAGGGCAGAATTATCTGATTACCTAAGAGCCCTGGGGCATGCTTATAAATGAAATTTTATAAATCTAAATTATAAATAGAATCAGGAACAACAGGGGGAAATCAGCTCCCAAAAAACTGAATGCTATTTCAGATCCTGAGGGTTGCCACACTCTGGGCAAAATGGGTTTTAGACAGGCAAGGGGTTCTCGAAGGAAAATGATCTACCACTGATCTCTGACATAGCTATTTGGATGTTGATTGAGCAATTCCAATAACCTCTACTGGTACAAGGGAAAGACCTAACCAAGACCCAAACTGGATAGGACTTATCTCAGATAAGCAAAAATGTTTGAGTAATTCATTTTATTGCCCCTCAAAAATTCTAAAGTGCAACCAAAACATATGGCCTATTGAAATGGCCTCTCCTGTAGACCTCAGGATGGATAAGAATAGCTTAGTAAGTTTGAAGCATGAGAGAAATTAGATAAGGGTCTGATATATATTTATGCACATTCCTAGTGTTTCATATTGCACCCAGGCTTTTATAAAAAATACAGAATTGTGAGCTGGAGGCATGGCTCAAGTACTAGAACACCTGCTTAGCAAGCATGAGGCCTTGCACTGAAGTTCCAGTACAGTCAAAAAAACTGTTAAAAGATACAACAGTTGACTTCAAAAATTCCAAAAGCAAAAATCAATGTACAAGAACAAGCCTAATGAAAATATTCCAACACAGAAAAAAATCCCTAAACAAAACAGAAAACTGAGTATTATTGAGTCTAGAAGGTTTTAAGTAGAAAAGTCATGAGAAATTTTTAATAAATTCATTCAGCAAACATTTACTTACTGACTTCCTCCAGTGTGTCACAAAGCTTACATTAAGGATCATGTAACTCACTCTCAGATATCCCTCTACTTACTTAGATCTTTTTGACAACCATTTGCTCAAGATCATGTTATTAATTACTGCAAAAGCCAGGCCTCAAATTCAAGATCCCTACCTTTTTGAAAGACTAGGGCTTTGTTTACATAATGCTTTCAAGAAAACAGAATAATAATAACAATTTGCCTGACTCCTGAGGACACTGAGACTCACAGCAATTTAATTTAGATGTCAAGGCTATACTGCTTTCCCTGTCTACTTTATTCGTACGGCCTACCATTTTCAGCAGTTCCAAACGAATGAGACTGTAGTTAGTTGTTTTAGCTATTTATATCAAGATAATGAATCCAAGGCTATCAATTCAGTCTTTACAAGAGACTTGCTATTTGTCATCACATATATTTAAAGCAAACAAATCATCAGTGTAAATCTGCCTTCATAGAAAAAAACAAAAGGCACAAAAACTGTTTGGCTCGAGATACTACCTTCAAACTGACAAAAGACATAAAGTATTTATCTCCATACCTGACCTTGGGATTTGGCAGAGTCACACAGCCAAGAGTCATTGGGAAACTTCCCAATGAATTGAAAGGTGGAACTCTCCTCTCAATTAAGTGAAGTTTCAGGCTATAGAAACTCGAAAAAAAAATTTTCATTCCCAGGCTTGCTCACCCACAAATGCTAACATTCCACATTGACAACCTACTGGACTTTGTTTCCACTTTCAGCAAAGAGGGTATGGCTCAAACTACTGGTCTGTCCCAGTGGGATAAATCCAATGGGAATCTTACTGAAGGCAGCCTGAGGGAACAAAAAGAAGAGAAAGTTTTCTTGTTAGGTTCAGAAAATCAGGCCTAATGGAGAAGCACATGTATGACCCCCATAACAAAGTAACTAGCCCTGCACCTGCCTCCCCACTCCCCTTCCCACATCCCTAGATCAGTAATGAAATACTACCAAGTGAGCAGTTTCTAAAACAGTCAGTGAAAATACAGTGACTTGGAGTTTGGAAGAAACATTTGCATACACATTAATGGTAACTGCTTGAAAGAAGTTTGATTAAGGTAATGAGGGTCTCAGTGCTATTGGACCAGTGCACTAGCATGACAGGGACTACATTATGCTACCGCACTAGTTGAAAAATCTGCAGATGCAATTCAATTAAAAATATCTATTTGTATACCGACCAATGACAGGTACAAGTGTTTATAAACTACCTTGAGCACAAATAGGTCAAAGAGAATATAAGCAAGTTGACGGCAGATGGTAATGACACAGCAATTGATTTAAATACCACAAATAATATAAGTGTGTGTGTGTGTGTGTATGTGTGTGTGTGTATGTGCATATATACATACACAATTAGCCTGAGTTTTTGTTTGGTTTTTTGTGGGGGAGTTAGCAGTACTAGGGACTGAACCCATAGAAGGCATGCCCCCATCCACATAGTTTGTATTTTATAAACTGTTATTAAAAATTGCTGGATACCCTGGATTAGCAATACAGAAAGCCTGTCATGGGTTTATTACATGTTCTATGACAGAGACAGCAGAACTGTCTTTTCTAAAATCTGATCCTTTCACAACTTAGGCTTGCTTTAAAATAAAACATGGGGGCCAGGTGTGGTGGTGAACACCTGTTATCCCACCTCCTCCAGAGACTTAGACAGGAGAATTATAAGTTTGGGGCCAGTCTGGACTACATAGCAAGACCCTACCTCAAAATAAAAAAAAAAGTGATTAAAAAAAAAAAAAAAAGGCTAGAGACATAGCCCAATTGGTACAGCACTTGCCTAGCATATGCAACACTATGGGTTCAAATCCAGTACCGAAAAAGCCCCCCATACAGATATACATAAAACATGGGAGAATAGGTTAAAAAAAGTAAAGAGTAATAAAAAGAATAGAAAAGTAAAAAATTAAAGTGAAATTATTCTGCTTTGGAAGCTCACCTCATCTGTTCTTCGAAGAACTCCAGTAACAACCTACAAATATAAAAATGAAATTATTATAAACAACATGTATTTCCTTTTCCATAAAAAATTGGATTCCATTTTCATGGACCATAAACTTATTCATTTTCTTCCTAGAAACTATGTCAAATGATGTATTAGATCTTAAAATACCACATTCTCAAATACAATCAGGGCTACATTGGATTTTATTCTTGACCTAGAATCAATAATAAAGGCTAAGAGAAAATAATTATTAAAAATCTGTATCTTATTGGCAGATTTATGTTTTAAGTTCTATAAAACATAACCTTACTAATGTCTATGCTTTAAGTTCTATAGAAATGTGTTCTACATCAATTTTACAGAAGAGCCTACATTACTGCTGTGAAGTATGCACACAGGGAAAAAAATACCTGCTATACTCAGAGAAATCGCACTTAATAAATGTTTCTTACAGGAAAACGAGGAAGATATTATTTTTATAAAATTATGAAAAATACCTGAAAAAGTAATTTCTCATAATTCCACCATGCTAGGTAACCAGTACCAATCAGTCATTCACATTTTGATGTGTTTTCCACTAATCCTTTTTTGTAAGTCAATGCCTATTTTAATGACTGCAAATATACGGAATACGTAATTCACTGGCCTTCCTTAAAACTGTTTTGTAAAGACTGACACAAATCTCCCTTCATCTTCTCCCGCTTCACTGAGTTTCAGGATTAAATGGGGCTGTCAAGGGGTCTATTTCATTCTTTGTAGGAATGGTATCAGAACCTTTCACACTTCATTAAAACACCATAAAAACAATTACAAGATCATTAGCACAGCCTTTTTAAAAGAAGCTTACTAAGGCTCATGTCAGTGCCAAGTCAAACACTGTTGTTAGCTTCTGATCCCTGCACACTGATGACGCCACCAAAAAGTGAAGAAAAGCAATCAGAAATGAGGTGTGGATATGAAGTATAGTGAATAGGATGGGGTAACTTGAGCATCAGGCAAAATCACTGGGCACTTCAGAGATTTCCAGCAGTCTACTATAAGGAAGAGCACACACAGGACAATATACCTACCATCTTATTGAACCAAAGTAAGCAGCAAAGATATGTCATGTCATTTTTTAAATTAATAAACTATTTTTAGGGCAGTTTTAAGTTCACAGCAGAATTATGAGGAAAGTGCATCAATGTGCCATACACCCTGCCCATTATCAACATCCCCCACAAAGTGGTACATTTATTACAACTGATGACCCTATATCAACACATCCTTACCACCCAAGCTCCACCCTTTACATTTGGGTTCACTCTGTGTTGTACTTTCTATGGTCTTTTGACAAACATATGATGACATGCATCCATCATTATAGTATAATTCAGAGTATTCTCACTGCCCTAAAAATTCTGTGCCCTGCCTATCAGTCCCTCCCTTCTCCAAACCTTTGGCTACCACTGATCCTTTTATTATCTCTTACACTTTTTGCCTTTCCCAAATGCCAAATACTTGGAATCATTCAGTGTGTAATCTTTTCCTATTGGCTTCTTTCACTTAGCATTTATGCTTCCTCTATCTTCTGACAGCTTGTTAGTTCAATTCTCTTAGTGCTCAATATATTCCATTGTCTGAAGGTACCACATTTTATTTATCCATTCACCTACTGAAGGATATCTTAGCTGCTTCCAAGTTTTGGCAATTAGGAATAAAGATGCTATGAACATCCATATGCAGGTTTTTCTGTGAACATAAGTTTTCCAACTCCTTTGTCAAGTAAGTACTAAGGCGTATTGTAGCAGGGTGGAGGGCCAAAAAAAAAAAAAAAAAGAAAGAAAGAAACAAGCAGTCTGTGTTCTGATAATATAGCAGAGGGTAGGTAATGGCATAACAGAGAAATAAAACTGGTTAATTTTGCCTATTATCAGGTGTATGGTGGTATCTCACCAAGGATATGTAATTTTAAAACACAGGGAGGACTGAGGATTTAGTTCAGTGGTAGAGTGCTTGTCTAGCATACGTAAGGCTCTCAGTTTGATCCCCAGCACTGCAAAAAAAAACCCAGGTAAATGCCTGAACATGTAGTCCCTCTTCCTATAAACACAGGATGAAGAAACAACATTACATATGATAGAAATAATGTGAAAATTGACAGATAGATGCATTTTCTTGAAAGGAATCTAAGTTTCTTGGTAAGAATTATTCCTCATAATTGAAACTATGATTCCATTACAAATAGGGCTACTTCATAAGAGTCTTCAAAACATAACTTATTCTACCCACTACCATTTTGTCTCCTGTTTTATTCAATTTTATCAAACAAATTTGATCATATGTAAGCCCTTTTTTGTACTGGGTAGAGGGTTTGCAAAAACAATGAAATAGAAGTGAATGAGATATTAGTTTGAGAGCAATAGTCCTAAAATAATATTATAAAGAAATAATTCCCTCAAATTGTATGTATTTACATTATTGTTCTATAATCTAATTTCCACTTTTCTCACCTTCAAAATGGCCTCAAAGAGAAAAAGTCATACCTCCTGCAGTGTCCCATCTCCTCCAGCAACAATGATCACATCTGTGCTTTCCATCAGTTCCAGGAGTTTCTTGGCTTGTCCCTCATAATCTGTCTGAAATACAAAGGAAGTTTTTGGTAAATCTGTAATCCTAGGGCCAAAGGTCAAAGGTTTAAAAATGTGGGAAAGTTTTACATGGATCTCTCTCAACTTTACATAATTGGTAGACATGAATAAACAAACAGCTATCAAAGCAATTATGTATATTTTTTCCAATAGTTTTATACTTTTATAAATCAGTCAAAAGGGACTTCAGAGACTCTCTAGTTAGCTCCTTACTTTAAAGATAAAATTTGAACCTAATAATTTGCCTCAGTTACATAACTAGTCAATGGATTCATTTCCAGTCCAGTGCAGATTCCATTATATCATTTACACATTGCTCTTCAACTGAAGGCAGGAAGTGTTTAGTGTTTATGCAAATAGGGAGACACAGACGTAATGAAAGAAGTTCAGATTTCAGAGCCCAAAAGACCTACATTACATCCCAACTCTGCTACTTTTTATCTGAATAGCCTTAAACTCGCTGGATTTTAATTTCCTATCAAGGCAATTATGTGTTGTGGGAGGGGTAATCATAGCTTCCTTGTGCTAGTGTTACAAATAGAATGTAAAGAAAGTGGAAAGGTAAATGTTCATAATTGGTACTATACTAAATAATTATTGTTGCTTTGCTATAATTGTACATAAATAAATACAATTGTGATTCAAAGTAATCACAAAAGAACACTTAGGCCTTACATTCATTTAAATAAACCATTTCAGCCATCAATGATATATGTACCTCTAAAGACTAACACTAAATTTTCAAAAGCATAATGCCACTATCACCGCAATGGGAAATAATTTCTCCAATTGAAAGTACACTAGACATACTAATAGGCAAAAGCTGAACATTCAAATTTTAGATGGGCTAAAGCTCCTATATAGCGTAATAAAAAATATTTGGTCTTTGTCCCTTGTTCCTGGCACAAGTTACCAAAAACCCTACAGCTTCCCAAGTGAACAAAGTGCCTTTTTTTTCTTTTAATGCGGTGGGTTTGAACTCAGGGCCTCACACTTGCCAGGCAGGCACTCTACCAGCTGAGCCACTCCATCAGCCTGAGAGGTGTCTTCTGTCATTCATAGCAAGCCTCTCACAACCATACCATCCTGTATGCTACAGAGGGGACTCTTGGTAGGTCTTTGGATTGCTTCGAGATTGGGCTGGTTATTGAAAGGTAAAGAAGGTGACTGTAGGGTTGGAACTTTTAGCCCTGCCCCCTGGCCTCTAGGAAGGGAGAAGGACCTCAGATTGAGCTCGTTCATCAATGACCAATAATTTAATCAATCATGCCTACTTAATAAAACCTCCACAAAAGCCCATAAACAGCAGAGTTTGGAACACATCCAGGTGTGTTGAGGGTGGCACACCCATAGAAGACATGGAAGCTTTGTGCCTCTGCCTCCATACCTTGCTACTTATTACATCTTTCCATTTGAGTGTTCCTCAGTTGTGGCCTATATATAAAACAAACCAGTAAACCTAAGTAAGGTGTTTTCTTCCATTGCCACTTAGTCAACATGACATTTATTCACAGTTAATTAATCAGAGGAAAAAAGAGTAAGAGGTACTTATACTGCTTTTGCTGAAAATCACGGACTCCTTACCCAGGTCCATGAATTAACTAGTAGCAAGAGAAAAAAAGCTTGACATTACTGCCTCCATTTTGGGTGTGTCTTTGCTTTAAGCCATTCTCTGCAGTCACCTTAGTCACCATGGGGTCCAGGAAGGTCGGGAGTGATAAATAAAATCTTTACAACAAGGGACCAAAGCTACTTCTAAGAAATAGCAGAGCCTTGCACCCACACCCCAACACACACACCAAATGAGGACAATTGCCTATAATGAGGCTGCACCCTGGAGCAGGAGTAATCATCTCATGGGAACCAGTGATCACAGATAATGACTTCTCTGGAAACCTCAGAGAACCAGAATTGAGATAAATCTCAATTAGGCCACACTTTGACCAGGACTCCTTAACTATGCATACCTTTCATCCCTGTCCCAACTCTTTGTCTACTTAAACTTATGTCTGAACCCCAGAGATGGCTGAAGATGGGCTAAAGTGCTTACTTTCCTTTTTCCTATGGCTGCTTATGCTGTGTAAATCTCTGTTCTCTGACCTTCACCATTACTGTCTCTTTATTTGGTGTATAGGGCGAGTGGCCAATCCTGACCTGTAAAGTCCCAGGATTTTGGGCCTATAGCCTTAAAACTCTGGTTTTGGGCTAGGATACAGTTCAGTGGTAGAGCACTTGCCTAGCATATGTGAGACCCTGGGTTTAATCCCAGCGCCAAAAAACAAAACAAAACAAAAAACCCTCCAGTTCCAGTTTCAAAAGGAGGTTCCTAAAATGTCAGCATTTAATTTTATGATGAATAGTTCTATTTTTATTCTAAAAAGAAAATGACTGGCTTTATAATTACACTTTGCCAACATTTGATTTAAAAAAAATAATAAATTTATCCCAGCTAGTGAATACAGAATTTTTAAACCTGTTGAAATTACCATAAGAAGAGGACTAAGGTAGAAAGGAGAAAAATGGAGGCGATGAGCCAATTTGGGATATAATACAAATACACATGGAAATTTCATAAACCCTATGTATAGATATCTTAAACAAACAAAAATATCTTTTTTCAAAACAAAGGACAGGAAGGTAAAAACAGGTCTTGTCTGCAGGTTGGTAACTGTGGGAGGAGGGAGGATAAAAGGCACAGGTGTAAGAGGGTGAATATGGCAAATATTATGTACTCATGTATGAAATGCAAAATGAGACCTGTTGAAACTATTCTAAAAACAGGGGGCAGGGGATGATAAAGGAGAATGCTGGAGGGGGTGAATTTAACTAAGGTATATTGTAAGCACTTTTGTAAATGTCACATTGTACCCCCAGTACAACAATAATATGATAATTAAGAGAATTAAGAGACAAAAAAAAAATCTCAGTTTCTCAGAAGGTGGAGACTGGTAGGACTGCAATTCAAGGCCAACCTGGGCAAAAAATTAGGGAGAACTGATCTAAACCAATAATTTTGACATGGTGGTGCACATCTGTAATCCCAGCTACATGTGAAGCAGAGGTAGAAGGATTGTTTTACCTTGAGCAAAAACACAAGATCCTACCTGAAAAATAACTTAAAGCAAAAAAAAGGGCTGTGGTGCATGGCTCAACTGGTAGAGCATCTTGCCTTGCAAGTGTGATACCCTAAACTCAAGCCCCCAGTACCACTCCCCCAAAAAAAGACAGACATCAATCTTTATTAAAAAGAGGTTTTTGAACTCCCAGAAATAGGTACTCCTTAGTAATCAGCATGGGTTTGCTAAGATCCTCATTTCCTTCTTTGTCAAATTACTAGATCAGTAGGTATCAGGAGTTATAGACATCTTGGTTAGTCTTTAGCAAGACTCCAGGCAAGTTATGTGATGACATCCCTGTGGACAAGTTGAAGAGATGCAGAAACAACTAGTAGATGGGTAGATACCAACTCAATTTCTGTGTTCAAAGCGTGATATGCAATGCGCTAATGTCAAATTACTGGAAGATTCCTAGGGACATTCCATCAGGGCTTTTGCCTTCAGTCTTTCCCTTCACAACATCATAAGCAATAGGGATGAAAGGTAATTTACAGAATGCATACATAATAAAAAACTGACAATCTTGCCCTTGTTGCTGCTCCATCCTTGGCTTCTCTCTTTCTCTCCCTTTGCTTATTCCATTCCAACCACAATGGCTCCTCACTGTTACTCACACATGCCATGTGTACTCTGGCCTCTAAGCCTCTGCATTTGCAGGATCTTTGGCCTGGATTCTCTTTCCTCAAGCATCTCATGACTCACAAATGTCATTTTATCAGCTCAGTCTTCCACAAACACATGAACTAAAATGACACCCATTAATTTGCTGTCTCTTTACCCTACTTTATCTTTCTTCTTAACACTCATCAGCATCTAACAAATCATGTGTATATTTGTTTCTTGTCTGTGCCCCTTCCTTTGAAGTCTTAAAAGAAGTTTCTTAAGAACAAATAGGAAGTTTGTTTCGTTCAGAATATATTCCTAATACCTAGAAGGGAGCTCATAGTAGGCATTCATATATAGATCAACAGTTCTATCTAACTACACATTATAATCACTGGGAATGGGTGGCTAGATAAATGAATAAATGAATTTGTCCTGTAAATACAGACACACAGATCCCATTCCATATCAGAGAGTGACACCTGGGCACAGGTTATGTTTTAAAGCTCCCAGGTAACTTAATATTCAGATGGAGTTAAGACCCACTGACCTATGTGTAAAAACATACAGGGAAGCATTTCTTCTTAAAATAAGGAAGACTATCCTAATAATGCTATCCTAGGATGAGCAGGTTGGCAAGTAAAAGGCTAAAAACAATGCCTGAGCGCTAGCAGACTTTAGTGTGAACCCTGGCTCTGTCACTATCAGTTGTGTAATTGGGCAGGTTTCTACAAGTTTGCATTCTCAATGTCCTTATTCATAAAATAACATCCAACTTCACTGAGCTTTGTGTGGTTTAAATAAAATCACCTATGTGAAATACTCTATTTCAGCAAAATGATAGAGTAGATTCCCTGACATTGAAAATTAAAGCTAGACAGTAAAATAATACAAACATCTTTAATGCATCAATAAACTAGAATAGAGCAGGAAGTACTAAATTCAAAACAAGCAGCTAACCAGTAAGTGCCTTAAGGGCATCTACTAAACCAGATGGATTGAATGTTATTCTCAGTTTCACTAGGTTCTAGGAAAAGGAAACAACAACCTCAGGACCTGCTCAAGATTGGTGAGTCTAATAGGAAACCACACACGACCATAAGCCAGTACCCAAAAGGCTACATGCTGTTTTTAAAAGTACTTTAAAAACAAAGTTGACCTACACCTACTCCTATTCCCACCCCAGGAGACTGAAAGAAAATTTTCTGTTCTGAAATTTGGTACTAAATGAAGGGAGTAAAAACATTCCCTGAGAATCCATGACTTTGAAGCGGCCTTTACACAAGTAAGTAACCCAAATTCACGGTACTTGAGTAATCTGAAAAACTTCCTACTAAAAAAAATTTAAAACAGTTCCCAGGATTTCCTCATATTGTACACTAACAAAGATATAGTATTCCTTCAAGGGTATCTGTGCTCTATTCTACTGTATATAACCTGAGCTTAATAATGACATATGGCCAATGTTCCTCAAAGTCAAATTGAACCACATTGTCTTAATAAAAAACCAACCTTTTACTCTTCAGAAATGTGAGGGGCTGAAAAAAAAAAGATTAAAGTTGCCTAAAGAGACTGGAGATGTAGCTTAGGTGGTAGAATACCTGCCAACATGAGGAAGGCCCTGAATTTGATCCCCAACACTACAAATACTACTACTACTAATAATAATAATAATAAATTTTTAAAATAAAGTTGCCTGAAGAGATATGACAACTAAATACAACATGTGCTCCTGGATTGGGTACAGATCAATATAAAAACATTTGTACAACAATGAACTTAACTTGAATAACTTCTACAAATTCAATTATAATACTGTATTGATGTTAATTTATTGATTTTGACAATTATGTAAGAGAATGCCCTTTCTTTTCACAGATACAGATGTTCAGAGGTAAAGAGATACTATTTCTGTAACTTTGACATGATTCAGAGCAATTAATAGCAATATGTATATGCTATATATACGCACACATATACAACTATTAATGTCAAAAGTACATGAAAACATAGTAAAATGCTAACAGTTGGGGTGTTTACGTGACACAGATAAGGGAATATGTATGATTTTATAATTATTTCAAAACAAAATTTAAAAGATAAGATAGGAAACAAGCCCTTCAAAGAGCAGCAGTGTCTATTGAGATGTAAAGAAAACATTAATATTTATATTTCTATTAATGTTTAAATTGCAACTTTTTAAATTTCCATTTCTGAGTATGTAATATACATAATGTAGTAGTAACTGCATATAATTGTTAAGTACCTTAAATTGTAAAAAATTACAAATATATGAGTCACAGGATATTTGAATACGGGCTAGATAGTGTAAGGAGATATTAGAGAATAGTTACTTTTGCTGCAAATGAAAATATCACTGTAGTTATATAGAAAACATCCTTATTTATTAAAACATACATATTGAAGAATTTAGAGGTAAAAAAATGATATGATTTCTGTTATTTTTTCAGGATACCAGCTACCATGTGAAGATGCCTGGTAGAGACTACGTGGGCCAGACAACAGCTGCCTCAATCCAAAGACATGTAACTAAAGCCCTTTCTCAGTCCAGGCAAGACCAACAAAAGAGCATCTTTGAACACAGACTGCTGGCCAACAGGATCATAATCAGAAGTGTAGTGGCTGAGTCAGGGTGTTATGCAGCAATAGATAACTTGTATAAAAATAAGTTTAATTCACAAACAATAAATGTTTATTGATTAAACAGTCCAAAGACAAGAGCAAAAATGGGTCTTTAAAATACTGTTTTCATACCCTTAACAATGATCAGCCAAAACAGAACAAAACAAAAAGGCTGAGAACAAAGGATTGAAAAGTAACCCTAAAAGGTCTGGGGGTACTGCTCAGTGGTAGAGTTCTTGCCTAGCATGCACGAAGTCCAGGGTTCCACTCCCAATACCACACACACACACACACACACACACACACACAAATAATAAGCTATACTAGACAAAAGCTAACACAAGTAAGTTAGTAAAAATACTAATAATGCTAGATAAGATAGACTATGGCAAAAGGCAGCATTAGTGCTAAAGAAAGTCACTCTATGACAGGGTCAAAATACAAGAAAAATGAAGTAATTTGAAACTTTAATGTATCTAATAATGTAGTCTCAAGATACAAAAATGGACCAAACTATGTATAGAAATAGACAAATCTACAATTATAATGGGAGAATTCTAACACCCCATTCTTGTTAATTTATAATTAAAGCAGAATAAAAAATCGGGAAGGACACAGAAGATCTGCACCACACAATTAACAGACTTACCTTAATGGACATAAACAGAACTTGATACGCAATAACTGATGCATGTTAATTTTAGACATATATGGAATATTTATGAAAACAGACTACACTCCAGACTATAAGACAAACCTCAATAAACCTTACGATAATAGAATTATATGGACTACATTTTTGTCATGATGTAGTTAAATCAGATATAACAAAAATGATAAATCGAAAAACTTTAGGTCTAGCTGGGCGCTGGTGGCTCATGCCTGTAATCCTAGCCACTTGGGAAGCAGAAATAAGGAGGATCACGGTCAAAGCCAACCTGGGCAAACAGTTCATAAGACCTTATCTCGGAAAAACTGAACACAAAACAGGGATGGTGGAGTGGCTCAAATGGAGGAACCTGAGTAGCAAACTGAGTTCAAATCCCAGTACCACCCAAAAAAAAAAGAAAGAAAGAAAAACTTTAAAGCTAAAAATTAAAACATGTCTAAATAGCACACAGTTCAAGTAAAACTCATGATGCAAATTAGAAAAGATTTAGAAATTAATGACAATGGAAATACTACATGTCAAAAGTTAAAGGATGCAGCTAAAACAGTAAAGTGAACTTTATCATTTTAAATACAATGCAGTATGAAATAAAGGTAAAAATTAACAGAATAAGCATTAAATTAAAATGTCAGAACAGCACCAAAAAAAGGGAGAAGGTAGGATCAGGGAAATGATAAAAAACAAAAAACAGACTAGAAATTAGTGAAATAAACATGCAAATGAGAAGGTCAAAAAGGCAAAAGCTGGTTCTTTACAAGAACTGACTAAATTGACAAACCTCTTCTAAGACTATTGACAGGAAAAAGATACAGAAGGCAAAAATAAACAACATGAAGAATGAAAATGAACATTACAGATGCTACAGATATATGAAAGTTAAAAAAGAGGACAGTATGAACAACTTGATGCCTACAAATTTGAAAATGTAGATGAAATGAACAAATTCCTTAAAAATTTTATCTTAACAAAATTAAGCCAAAAAGAAATAGAACTTGAATATGTCTAGAACTAGTAAAGAAATTTAATATCCAAATAACATCTCCAACAAACGCTTCAAGGCCCAGATGATTTTACCATGAGTTCCATCAGTTATTGAAGGAACAAATATCAGTCTTACATCCCATTCTAAGTCCTCTGATACCTAGCATTTGGCACATTGCAGGTACTCAAAAATGTTTTCTTCCCCTTTCTCCTATCTACAGAGGCAAAAAATCAGATGACCACATCTCAGACAAGTTAGAAAAGAAGGTTCAACATGCATGGCAAATTATACTAGAGAACCTTCTAACCCCTACGAGTTACCAAAGTGTGTAACTTAGAAATAGGTTAATACCATAAGGATAGTTTTCACCGAATACATGCCTCTATGCACACACCCATCCAAATATCACTTAAATTTCCACAAAATGGAGACTTGAGGTATCTTCTGAGACAGCACAATCCCTTCTAACTCATTTTTGTCTCCTGTACTTCTTACCTAAATCTCACAAATTGTAAGATTTACTGTTTTAAATTCCTCACCACAGACAATTCCTTACCAGAGAGAAAAATGTTTACTTGTTTATGGAACTACCAAGAAATTAAATTATTCAAACTTGAGGATTTTGTATTTTTACGAAAGAATTCTGACAGCTATAAAAATTTTCATCTTCTAAGAGATAATTCCACTTCTGTCTCTCAGATAAAAGATATTGAGGTCTCCATGCACCCATCTAACCCTATTCAGAAAATGAAAAGCTGACAATGTCATGAAAATACAAAACTGCTTTAAGTATTAGAAAAAACACAACACTGATTTCTTTGCTCTTGTCGTAAGTGACAAGCAACTTTTGCTATGAAGAACAGAAGATATATTAGTAGGGATAGCAGCTTGGAAAAAATACTCTAGAATCATTCTCACCTTAACAACAGTCACGTCCATGCCAGATAAATGTAAAATGGGGGCAGCATTTTTTTCAAATAGAGTCCTTGCTTTGCTGTAGACAAAGTGAAAAAATACAATTATTTAACATAAGTTCTCAAGTGGAAGAATAAAAAACCCAACCATCTTCTCTAGAGCAGAATAAGACAGAATGTGGAATATGGGTTTCCTTTCTTTGTTCAAATCCAAGAAGTTTAAAAGCGAGTAATGAGTTACTACAGATAGAAAAACAAGTTTGCCTCTTGTGTAATGTAATCAGCTTTCATCCATTTGGGATCTTTTAGCTCACATTTGTGTTCCTGTAGAGGAAGAATGGACAGCAGATGTGGCTCCACTCTGAGTAATCCTAATTCACTCACCTCCTACTTACTGGGTGATAGACAGGTGGAGGAGCTAAGGATACATGACAGAGCAAACAAGACTACTTGTCCTTGTGGAACTTATTTTATATTCTCATGGTATATTCATATACTCCAGTGGAACTTACTTAGATTCTGGTGGAAGGCGTGAAGGACATTTACTAAAACATTATTTATATGGCCCAAGAAAACAGAAAGAACAATACAGAATATTTTTCAAGTCAGTGAACACAACCTTTTGGAAAGGGATACATCATTTTTAACAATTTCAAATACTAGAAGTATCTCCATATCTTCTGTTTTAAATGTGTGGTGAAATCTCTGGGGACAGGCAAACTTCTCCATGATGGCAGAATCTCTGCCAGGAAAGGAAAAGGCTCAAAATTATCTAGTAACTGTAAATTAATTAATCAGAAGCTGGTCTGAAACTCACAGGCAGAGTTATGCCCTTCTCTGTGTTCTCCTAGGACTTGATACACCCTTCTGTAGCAATTTTCAGTGGATGATGGTTAAAGAGTCCCAAAACTGTCTTCTGAACTAGACTGAAAGCTTTGCAAAAGCAAATAGCAAGCCTTACTAATTCATAAATCCCCTACCTTCTAGGACCTTTGAATGGGATACTTCAAAGGTACTTTCAAGTATCTGATAAATTAAGACACAAATGAATGAATAAATCTGCCCCAAGTGTAGGCAGCCAAATTCCGATTTTTTTTAAAAAAAGATATGACATGATTGTGGTTATCTTATGAAAGGACAAATTGTGTATTTTGATGGGTTTCTATATTTCAAAAGTATCATGTACTTCATTCTGATAGTGAACTACTGTCCTATTCAGATCCAGATTCAAAAACAATCTAGAAGTCAAGGGATACAGAAGTTGCAAAAAAGTCCTCCACTAATGGCATAGTTTAAAATCAAACAAATGCTAATACACATTAGTTAACCGACAAGTCTTTTATCCAAATATTTTCAACTATCACATAAGAAAACAAATTGTACTTCCAAACAATCAATGTCAAACATCTAACTTTTACATCTATATTTACTTACTCACCTCCCTAAAAAAAGCTTTTTTAAAAACTAATGATATGCATGTTTTGACTTCTTAAGGATATTTTATACTAGAAAGAAAAACAAAGATAGCAAATGAGGAGTACTGTATAGTTATACAGAGACCAAATTCAATACCCTTTGAAAACATATTCCTACCAAATGGTACACAGAACACAAAACCTTTCTTATTATGAATTACAACAGAAACTGAGAAGACTGCACAAATTTTTACAAGAATCATCATAGGCCTATCTGAGCATATAATAAGCAAATTAAACAGACTCTGCTTTCTATTGCCCTGAATGATAACTGAATGAACATGAAATATCTCCTTTCCTATTTACCATTTCTGGAAGTGTAACCTAACAAGAAGGGCTGAGGTAGTGATAACGCAGGCAATTTTCCTTCAGGGCTGCTTATACTACTGGACTGATAAGAGCAGAGAATTTGGAAGTGGATCAGATCTATTTTCCTAAAAGCAAAACTGGAGAAGTCTCAATCTGCCCTATCACAACAAACCTGTAACTTCCTCTGAATTCATTTAAGGAAAAAGATTTAAACATTTGGTATTTACTCACATCTTTCTATGATGCAATGGGTTTAGAGAATCTCTAAAATAAAGGTGACAACTTTTCCTTCTAATGTTCTATATAAAAGATTGAAAAACAAGTGTTGCCAGTAAGAAATACATAATTTACTATATAATTAAGGGTGCAATAGTACCACAGCTAAATAAAAACTTTATGTACTTACAGCAGTTTCCAGTCTCAGGCAGACACAAAATAATTACCCTTTAATGTATTATTTATTAATACTAAACACAGTTACCTTATTTCTTAAAGCTCTTCTCAAGTTTTAAACCAGTACTACATAATGAAACAGCTACATGATAAATTATAAATTACATGTCAGGGCAGAGCCATGATGACAAAAATAGTGCAATTAAATAGTGAAAGCTTAAGAGAGAGACAGAGAGAACATCTCAGATGCCAGTGTCCTAGACACATGCAGGATTCACCTTGCTGAAGGAGAGAATGCCTTCAGGAAAGAAAAATTTCACTTCAGTGGCCATATCTCAGCCTACCTTTAGACAAAGGAAGGTATTATACTTGCAAAGAATTATCTACCTTTAAAAATGTAGATACATTTACATGTCAAACTGTATGTAGAACCTAAAACTGCTTTGAAAAAAATTAATTTATTAGCCAAGAGCAGAGGCTCAAGCCTGCAATCCTAGCTACTTGGGGAGCTGAAATCTAGAGGATCAAGGTTCCAGGACAGCCTTGGCAAAAAGTTGTGAGACCACATCTCAACCAATAGCTTGGTATAGTGGTGCACACCTGTCCCCTAGCTACAGCAGGAAGTGTAAAGGAGGAGGATCATGGTCTAGGTCAGCTCAGGCAAAAAGTCAGACACTATCTTAAAAGGCTGCCACATAGGTCAAGCAATAGAGCACCTGCCTAGCAAGTGCCAAGCCCTGAGTTCAAACCCCATACCATCAAAAAGAAAAAAAATTAAGTTTATTAATTTTTAAAAAATTAATCTGCTTAGGATGCAGATCAACAGCAGAGTATGTGTTTAGCTTGTAGGAGGCACTTTCTCCTTTAACAAGGTGGAATGCTTGGTTTCACTCCTAGCACCAAAAAAAGAAAATTAATAACCTTAGAAGTAGAAACTCACAATAACTGATTATATCTTAAACAAACTGCCATAAATTTCTTCACTAGGAGTTAGCAAATTAGTGATTTATTAGGTCTCTAAAGGAACAGCACACAGAACAGTTAGCACACAGGTTAAAGTATGTTGAAGGAAAAGGACAAGAGCTCTTCAGAAAGGTGGGAGAGCAAAGTGCAGAACTCTGAAGTCAATATCAAGAGTAACACTATGAAATACTTGATAGGCATTATCTATTTCATACTAAAGGCACCCATTTTATATGGTAATCTTTAAGGTATATGCTATTTTTTTTTATTTTTACAGATGAATAAACTGAGGACTTAAGACGTAACTCTTATAGCACTGCAGAGTTAATAAGCAGGTCCCTCTGGCAATAACCTCACAAGTTCTCTGCTGTCTATTTCCACAGACCACAATGACCAATTGCCTTGCATTTGGTTACATGGTGTTAGGAGTTGTTCATTTCTTGGCATTGTTTAATATTGGTATTAAACAAGAGGGATCAGTAGACATTATGATTGGTGTATTTATGGGGGCAGGGAAGGAGCTTTAACAAAGCCCAGAAATAATAAACCCATTTGGACAACCTGTAGGTAAAACTATTAAAAAGTAATAGGCATGACCGTCCCTCACATCTGTAAAATCACACTCACTGCCTGCAGAGCCTGCTTCATTTTACTTCAGACGGCCCCAAATATTCTTTTTAGTGTTCTCATTCTGATGTCAGCTGACTCACATCTTATGGAATCCAATCTAATACTTATTTATTAATTATCCATTCCTCAGAAAAGCCAAAAACAATTTTTCTAGATATTGGGGATAATAAAAGCTACACATTCTTTCCTCTTCAGTCCTTTACTTATTCTGACTACTTTTTAAAATAAATTTTAATTATTTCTTTCAAAGCCATCAAGGTCTTAGTATTCACCTTTCTAACTGAATGAAAGCACCATCTAACATTATATAATGCTGTTTTTGTACAATGGCATTTTTTTTTCTTTAACAGGCTGAATTCCCCCATACCTTCTTTCAACTTCCACAGCAACTCCTTCATTTCAGTGCAATACAATCAGTACAAGCAGTGAACCAACATGGACACATCATTAGTTACCAAAGCTCAACCATTCTTCACACCATAACTCCCACAATTCCCCCAGACTACCTTGTAACAAAATAAGCACATAACTAGGTCATTCTTGTCCCTAGGCCTCTGCCCATGGGCCATTTCCTCAGTCAGGAGTAGTGAGTGTTCTCCTCCAAAACCTCAAGATTTGCTACTTTTGGAAAGAATATTCTGATTCCTCAAGGCTGCAGTGCTCTCAGCCATCTCTGAACATCTTGTCTAGAGAGACAGCCTAATGATTTGTGCCATGGAGCAGGGCAGTTCTCAGAGGGACCACTTCCAAGCATGTAAGACTGCTGTGTATGTGTTAATTCTGGAATGATTGCTAAACTTCAATTAGACAAGTTTGCTAAGCATCAATTAGCTTTACAGTTATTTCATATTAACTGCTACTTCTATACTGTGGATGAATCTTACTGCTAGAAGAGCACTGGACCCAGTTCTTCTGATACCACACAATCTAACTAGCTGCCCAATGTTCTGAGGAGGGGGTACCTTAGAAAAATTGAATATATAATAAATCACAAACTGGCCTACCCTTTGCAAGCTGCAGGATTGAGAAAGACAGTTGCTTTCTTTACTTGAGCATTGGGAGGAATGAGTTGGTTGCCAAAAACCTAAAAAAGAGAAAAAGGAGAGTTTTCAGTAAATGTCCTTTTGTTCAGCTAATGATCACATATATTCTTTCATTCCAAAAGAATTTACTTCCAGCAGATGTGTTATGTACTTTGGAGAAAAATACAAATGTTCAATCATTATCTAATATCAACAAAAACACCATAAGAAACAATAACAAAAATGTACCATTATTTAATGATGATAAGCTAATTTTGTCCTGTTTCAAAAAAACCCCTGCTTCACCTACTAGAGGTACGTAACTCTTCTCTATAAAATATGGCTAATTTTATTACAAACATATACCCAGTAAGGCCATAGGATGTCAGGAAGGCAATTAAATCCATATGTCTTTAGTTTTTAGAATATATATTTTTTCTCCATCAACTTATTACTAAAACTTACTTGTGAAGAATCTGTATCACCAGTTAATTTTCATATCTTTATACATAAAGATAAAAGAAATTAACCTGGTACCCTATTTGTCTCCTCTTCTTAGCAACCCTGTATGATAACTAAACAGTAGCAACTACCATGGGAAAAGCAACATGACCTAGATTTACCAAGCACCTGGTACTTGGCAGTTTTACATTCAGTATTCTCAGCTCTAGAAACCAAGGCAGTATTAGGTAATTTCATTTTTACAGATTAGAAAGCCAAGACTCCAAAAGATTAAGTTACTCAAAGTCACAGAGTTAATAAACTACAAATTCACATTTGTCTAGCTTGGAAAACCCAAACTACTTCTAATTTATCAGCTCTAAAGATGAGGTAAAATCAAGGGGCAGAGGACCAGCTGTGTGGCTTCAAAATGGGAACTGAATGGGAGTGACTGCACCAATGCCTGGACTAGAGAAGACAGACCACAAAGACAGTGAGGACAGGAAAGCAACAAAAAAGGCAAAAACTCAAGTTTTAGATGGAGGGCCATGGCAGCAGAATTCTAGTACAGAAGTACAAAGGTTGGAAAAAATAGAAAGTTATATAAAGATACTTTATTAAAGAACTTGCTCTAAGCCTACCACTTCTTTTCTCACCACAATTTCTTGCTTTAAAAAAATACTAATCCTTCAGAGACACGCTTTCTTTATAAAAAGTTTCTGGTGTTATCACTTGTTTTCACTCTTACTTGACCTTAACGTTTTGTTGCCAAATCTCCAAATATTGTAATTTGTTGTTTTTCTAATTATACTATTCTAGAATATTGTCAGAAATTAATCAACACAGCTCTCTGGCCCACCATATTTCCAGATGTGTAGTACTAGATTACCTCTCCTTATCCTACCTTCAAGTACTCAGATTCACAGTGGACTGAGTTTATGTGAGATATTAAAGAAAAAAAATCACACTTTCAATAACTTATACTATGAAAAGAAGGTCACAAGAAAAGTAATTTAAGAAGGCTATAAGGATGAATCCACTTCCTTTTGTCATGTGGAGGGAACTAAACATGTGAAGAAGAACTGGAGAATCAGAATGGTATAGAGAGGCTAATATTTAAGAGGGAAGAAATAACTAAAAGAACATTGTCCCTGGAAAAATAAAAGTAGATGGAATTTGGAACAGAGATGGAGGTATTTACAGTAAATGAGAAAAAGGAGGCCAGGTATGGTGGCCCATGCCCATACTCCCAGCTACTTGGTAGGCAGAAATTGGGAGGATCTTGGTTTGACACCAGCCCAGATAAAAAGTTAGCAAGACTCTATCAGAACAAATAAACTGGGCATAGTGAGACATACCTGTAATCTCAGCAACATGGAGGCATAGGTAGGAGGATCACTTTTTAAGCCAACTTTGGGCAAAAACATGAGGCTCTCCCTGAAAAATAGCCTAAAATAAAGAAGGCTGGGGGTGTGGCTCAGGCAGTAGAGTGCCTACATAGCAAGCACAAGGCCGAGTTCAAACCACGGTACCATCAAGAAAAGGAGAAATGTTTGGGACAGAAATCACGTTGATTTAACATTAAAGTTTATTCTATAATTACCTTGATTTGATCATATACACTTAGATACAGGGTATCTAAGTACACTGTACAAATACTATGTGAACTACAAAACAATTTAAAATTTTTTGAAGTTTACCTGAATTGATGAGATAATACATTTAAGCAAAAATATAATCAAATTCTTAAAAGATACTTTAGAACAGTTAGATAACAGCTGCTGAAGAAAGGAAATTACTAATATTTATCTACTGCCATTGTCACCCATGGAAACAGTTCAAAAATAAACAGGACATATGCATTCACTTCTACCAAATACTTCCTCCAGTTGTCATTTTTTAACTTTCATGTTCCTTTTTGTGTTATTTCTGACATCATAAGCTTAAAAGGCACACAGCAAAAAGGCAACTAAGTCACAGAAATTCATCTGCAAGGTGTGATATACTAACAGAGAGGGGGTTAAATGTGATATTAAATTTGAAAGGATTTACAATTCCACTGTAATTACCAGAGTGGTAATTACACTTGTGATCCACAAGTAAATAAATCTAAAGTTATAGGCATTAGAAATGCTCTTCACCAGATGGTTAACTTCTACCTGTTCTACTCAGAGTTGGCTCTCAGCCGACTCATCCCCTGATAGTGGGAAAAAATAGCCAAATTGCACTGATGCAAGATCCTTTGCAAATCTCTGGAGTACTGCAGGCTTCCTGCTCATGGAGATAAGAGAGGTTGAATTTTATCAAGGAAAACAGCATTACCTGAGCTTCTTGACAGGCTGCTCTCCTTAGCAGGTTATCACTAGCAAAGCAAACAAAAAGAAAACCAACATTAGCTTCCATGGGAGATTAAGATCCAAACAAAATTTGTGGGCTTTTGTTTAATTTTTTTAATATATGCACCTCTTGCCTATATAACCACATCAACCTTTCTTAAAGACCTGATAAAACAAATCATGGGCACATTTAAAAACTATATTCTCTGGATGAAATTTTATGTTCAGTATTTCCACATCATGGTAGAAAGAATAATGTCTGTCCTTTCCCCAAAACATCCACATTCTAACCCTCTGAAACTGAAGACACATGATTTTACATGGCAAAGAGGTTTTACAGATGAGATTAAATTTAGGGCTTTGAGAGGGGAGGCTATTCTGTATTATCTGGATGGTCAGATTTTTCCACAGTCCTTGACACAGAGCAGCTTTCCTGGCTGTGCTCAGAGCAGATAGGACTGTGGAAGGATGGTCATTTGCTGGCAGTGAAGGTAAAAGAGGAAGAAAGCCTAGGAATGTGACAGCCCCTGGGAGGTGGAAAGGCAAGAGGTGGATTTTCCCCTAGAGCCTCCAGAAGAAACACAGTCTTTCTTAAAACTTTGATTTTATGTGGTATCTATACACAATGGAATTTTATGCAGCCATGAAGAAGAACAAAATGTTATCATTCGCTGGTAAATGGATGGAATTGGAGAACATCATTCTGAGTGAGGTTAGCCTGGCTCAAAAGACCAAAAATCGTATGTTCTCCCTCATATGTGGACATTAGATCAAGGGCAAACACAACAAGGGGATTGGACTATGAGCACATGATAAAAGCGAGAGCACACAAGGAAGGGGTGAGGATAGGTAAGACACCTAAAAAACTAGCTAGCATTTGTTGCCCTTAACGCAGAGAAACTAAAGCAGATACCTTAAAGCAACTGAGGCCAATAGGAAAAGGGGAACAGGTACTAGAGAAAAGGTTAGATCAAAAAGAATTAACCTAGAAGGTAACACCCATGCACAGGAAATCAATGTGAGTCAATGCCCTGTATAGCTATCCTTATCTCAACCAGCAAAAACCCTGCTCCTTCCTATTATTGCTTATACTCTCTCTACAACAAAATTAGAAATAAGGGCAAAATAGTTTCTGCTGGGTACTGGGGGGGGGGGAGGGAGGGGGCGGAGTGGGTAGTAAGGGAGGGGGTGGGGGCAGGGGGGAGAAATGAACCAAGCCTTGTATGCACATATAAATAATAAAAGAAAAATATTTATATGTATGCACATATAAATAATAAAAGAAAAATGAAAAAGCCAACACATTGTTGGCTAGGATCATAACTTCAACATGGCTAACATCAGGTAACAAAACTGGTACCTAGAAAAGATGACCAATAACCAATTTGTGGCAAAAAATTTAAAAGGCAAAAAGTGTTATTTTATTTATATTCTCTTCCTAGACACTTTTATAACACTGGAAACCTTGAATTTTATGTTTCTAGACTAATTTAAAATGTGATTTTAATATTTAAGGTTAAGTGAAAAGAAATTAAAATAAACATCCAGTGGCATTTTGCCATAGTTGCAGTAAAGGTTGCTTGATGACTTTTCTTCCACATCCAGGCTGCTGAGCAAACCCCTGAAACCTGACAACAATGTTCCACTGAGAATACAATGGCATCAATGCCTCAAAAGCACATGTTATTTGATTTTTAAAAGTTCCAGGAGATTCATCCCTTGTAAGGTCTGGCACACAGGCAGCCCTAGCAGCCAGGCCCAGGCCTCACCTGCTGGTGTGACTCCCAGGTGGCACAGGAATTCTACTACCGCCTCCCTTTCCACCACCCAAGACTCACAAATACTCACCCTTTGCTTTTCTCCCTACATCCTTGGCCATCAAATGCTCCCAGTGAATCATTCCAACATCAGCAACAAAAACACACATACTATACAATGAGGTAAATTCCAAGTATAGACTACTAAATTTTTTAAAATAAGTAACATGCTCACAACCCTTTGTAGTTTACCTGATATTTCACATTAACTTCTGGATCACAAAGTATTATCAGGTACTTTGTAATTAATAGCATGGGCATGGTCACAAGATCTCCCCAGGACTGCGCCAAACCTAGTCCAGCTTCCACACAATCCACACAATCCTGGAAATACAGCTTCCAGCTCTCCTGCTTATACTCCCCCAAACACTTGTTTTTAGTGTTTTTTCATAGTAGGCTGATCTCCTTGTGTCTCCAACCTTGTATCCTATAAACTTATCTAGTGGATCCTTCTGCCCAAGCCCTCCAGGCTTCTGTAAAAGCTGTAAACCTGTCTCTCCATTCCTGTCCATTTCCTCCACTGCTTCCTTTCAGGCTCCTCCCCTACTGTGGAGGACAGGACTCTAAAAGCCACTGGCTGGCTCCTCTGGGTCATGAGCAAGAACATCATTCTTGCTATGCTTCAGCCTCATAGATTTCCATGCAGTAGCTGAAAAGAGAATCAGCCCCAATGTGAATGAGCAGGCAAGGAAGCACCTAAGCAAATTCTTTGTTGGTAAAAGTAAAATTTTGATGGCTGACTTGTGATTAAGTATATTAAATATCTGAGGTCTCTTGAGTTTATTAATACTGTATCAAAGTTCTCTGCAAAATCAAAAGATTTTATAACGATTCCCTGAATTTAATGCGCCAAATGGAATATGCTGTCAATACCACCTGTGAGAAAGCTAGAATATGCACCAATTTATATCCTTCCAAAGACCCACTATAGTCATATTTAACTTTAATATCCAAATGATATTAACCATCTTGATAATAATCTGTGAAACAGGCTATTTTGAAAATATAAACACATTTTTCAAAAAAATATTTTAATACAGTAGTCCCTATTGGTTCAAGGACCCCCGTCCCATGGATACCAAGATCATTCTTAGAATACTTAATAAAAGATAAATGCTATGTAATAGCTGTTACATTGTATTATTTATAGAATAATAACAAGAAAAAATCTACACATGTTCATAGAGATGCAATTTTTTTCTGAATATTTTTTATCCGCAATTGGTTGAATCCACAAATGCAGAACCCATAAATACAAAGGGCCAACTGTATTCTGATGATCTACAAAAACTTCTGAAAACTATTTCAAGAATTCCAAAACTGTTTCAGTAATGGCAGCATTGCTAGAAAACAACTTAAAGCAACCACCATGTGCCAAACACTATGGCAACTGTTTTCATAAACTTTTAATCTTGGTAATAACCTTGCAAGCAAGGCAGGACTTAATATGTAATATAAAGTATTCTCATTTTGCAGATGAGAAAACGCAGACTCAGAAGGAAAGTACCTTGCTCGCGAGCATAGTGTTCCTAAATGCTAAAGCTAGAATTCAGATCAACCTGACTCTAAGCAAATGCTTTATAAGTTTTTCCTAACTCCAAACAGTACTGAATGGGCAAATATCACTGAAATGTAAACTTTATAGCACATTTACTAAATTATCTTGTTTCCTAAACTTACCTAACAAAATGTTTACAATTTACATTAACATAATGTTTATAAAAAGTCCAATGAAAAGGACCAGGTTCTACCCTGGAGAAGCTGAGAATCAAGTAGCAAAGAACAGCTTTGGGTAAACACGGTGGTCTACTAAAAGATGTGACACACATAAATAATGTGCCAGGCTAGGAATGTAGGACACACTGGTGAAAAGCCCAACATCCCCTGGACCACGGAGTCTTCAGTTTAGAAGGGAAGACAGCTCAGCACACAAGCAGGACGCAGCTTTGCTTTTACATGCTGCATGTGTGAGGCATCTGAAGTACTGCTGAGGGAATTAGACAAAGCTTTTCACAGAAAGTGACCCTGACCCTGAGAGCTAGGGGAAAAACAGGGACTAGAATCTAGATAAAGAAAATAATGTGCGAAAGCCTACAAGTGGAAAATGGATGGTAGAGATCATCATGGTAACCGATAAAAGCCAGTTTCACAAAAACAAGGATTGCATGTTCTCTCTCATATATGGAATCTAGGCAGTGAAGGAAGGGATATGAAAGGAAGAGGGGGACTATTAGGAATATGAAAAGGGAAAAGGATACTGGGATAAGAAAGGCCAACAGAGAATGAACAAGATCAAATTACATCATATGCATGTATGGTAATGTCATACTTTGTACAACATATACTAATTTTTTCTAAAAGTCTGTAAGCACCACAATGTGAACAATTTAGCAAAGTAGTAGTAGTTCAGGACAGATGTAGGTTTGAGGTATCAGATAAAGGTCAGGTCACCAAGGGCCTTTTAAACTATGTAAGGAATTTGGACTTTATCCTAAGAATCATAAGGGGCCATTAAATGGTTTTAATAAGAGAACTGATATGATGAGGTTTATATTTTAGTGGGATCATACTTGTGGCATCATGAAGACGGCACTGACCAGACGTAAGACTGAATCTGAGAAGACTGTGGAGGTTCCCTTTGTGACACCAGTCAGTGACAATGCCTGGAACTAGGCTTGTGGCAGATGGCCAAAGAGAAGAGGACAGATCCCGCAGATACTCATTCAGGAGAGAAACTTGCAGGATGGTTCACAGGAATTAAAGGAAAGGGGAGAGGTCAAAGATGATTCCTGAATTCTGCTGGGAGCAATCTGGTGGGAGGCAGTACCATTCAAAGAGGGAATGGAGGGCTGGGAGTGATGCCTCACTCCTGAATCCCAGCTACTTGGGAGATGGAGATCTGGAGAACACAGTTAGAGACCAGCCTGGGCACAGAGTTAGTGAGACTCTATCTCAACAAATAAGCTAGGCATGGCAGCACAAGCCCATAATCCAAGCTACTTGAGAGGCATGGTAGGAGAATCAAGGTCCTCCTACCATGCCTCTCTTATAGGGAGGCCCTATAAGAAAAATATATGGGGAGAGATGGTGAAGGCGATCTAATCAAAGTAGAATGTAAGCCTATTCAGAACTGTCATAATGAATCCCCCTGTTGAACAACTATATATCTATCATAATAAAAATTAATAAAAATGAAAAAGCAAAGAACA